AATTTGTGGGTCTAGTTCAGTGACCCTTTTTCACTTTGTTACTTCCCTTGTATTTTATGTTAACCTTTAGTTGCCCAAGTAATAGATACTTTCCCTGTAAAAATTTTAAAACATTATGACAAAGTGAAATCCCACTTGATCAGTACCCCTCAAACCTGGGCCTGTTGCCCCTTCTTTGCACTGTATCTTTCTAGACCTTTGTCTACGCATGCATGTGAGTAGCAGAGTTAAAGTTGGAAACAAGGAAAATACATTGTTTGGGATTTTCAAAATACAAATAATATGCTGTAGGGCTCATTTTACAATTAAGTATTTAATACTAGGAGCCTTGGAGATCTCTCCATGCCAATTTATGTACCTCTACATTTTACATTTTAGCTGCTACATAGTGTTTTATGTCCTGTTTATACCACTGTTTAGCCATTGCTCTGTTTTTAAAACATTTGTGGAATAACTAATTTTTGTAAAGCAGTGTTCCTAAAGGTTTTTAAAACTTAATATGATATTAGATGCCATGGTATTGGGGTTTCCAAAGTAGCCACAAATATGGGTTTTGATATTATTGAAGCAGGAAATTCCAGTCCTGATTTTTATACTTTGAAGAACAAAATCAGTTCCTCAAAAATTTATTTAAAAATTTCATTTTAATGTCAGTGGTGAGGAAGTGTCAAACTCAGTTACAAATAAGGTGTTTTACTTTGTTTTGGAATTTTTTATACATTTAAGGATTGTAACATGCCAGTCATCTTTTCCCTGCCACTCTGTGAGGAACTCACCGAAGAATTCTGTCAGAACTTTCATAGCATTTAATGAATCTGCTGCTCACTCAACATTTACATACTGTATATAAGCCCTTCAAAGGCAGGAGACTGAGTCTTAGCTTTCTAAAAGATGCAGTAAAGATTATCACATGGGTAATATATGTCTTTTCTTTCCTATTTTCAACATTTTCTTTTTACTTCCCAATTCTATTTGTTGGTCTTAATGCCTGCTCAAATATATATAAACGATTGCCATCCCATATTTATGCTATTACACATAACTTTATATAAAATTCTAGTCATAAAATTCATATTCAAACATTCTGGGATTTCCAATTTTTATTTTTGGAGTTGTGCCTATCAGTCACTGCTTATATAATGCCTTTGAGGTTCTAGGTGCTGGGGGTCACCACTTCTACTTTGTTTTAGGATTCTCAGTTCTTTCTTCAAAACCTGCACCTTCAGATTATCTAATTTAACTGGTCATTGTGTACATTTGTGTAAAATAATTTCTAGAAAAGCCAAACCAAACCTTTGTTTTATATTTACTGCTTGATTTCCAGTAGATGGCACCAAATACCTTTTAAAGTTCTTTGTGATACTAATTCCTCTTTGGTGTTGCTGGCTAATTCATCATTTCTTCTACCACCACCAGGGAACAGTATGATCCATTCTTTGGTCTGATTCTTTGATTGTTATATAACTTCGTATTTTTGTGTACGGAGTGTGAACCTGTTGGTGTTCAAATTATTAATTTGTTATTTTCTGACTCATTTCAACCATTTCTCTTAAAAATTTTTTTTATAAGTGTGATTTTCAATCAGGGTGATTCTAGGGGAAGGATCATGACATAAAAATAAGACTAGGTTTTTAAAAAAGAGTTGAAGGTAAGAGAGAAAGAATAAAGGGATTTGATGAATGTTCATAATAAAATCAAAGAGAACATTATACAAGTATAAAAAAATTGCCCCGGCCGGTGTGGCTCATTTGGTTGGAGCATTGTCCTGGGTACTAAAGGGTTTCGGGTTCAATTCCTGGTCAGGACACATACCTGAGTTGTGGGTTCAATCCCCCGAGGCAACTGATCAATGTTTCTCTCTCACATCAATGTTTCTCTTTCTCTCTCTCCCTTCCTCTCTCAAATCAGTAAAAACATATCCTTGGGTGAGGATTTTTTAAAAAAGTATACAAAATCCAAAATTAATATAATGAAATCAAAATGTTTTTAATATTAGTTTGATTCTTTAGTAGAATTGTATTTATTAGGATTTTTAAATTTGTTTTACAAATAACTTGCAATTTAAAAAATAGTGTTTAAAGTTGTTATATCCCCATTTTCATTTTTAATGTTTATGCTTTCTTAAAAACCTTAGGTTCAGTATTTGTATTTTCTAGTGTTTTTATAAAGAATCAGCTTTTAGCCCAGCCATTGTGGCTCAGTGGATTGAATGTCTTCCCATGGACTGAGAGGCTCCAGTTGGATTCCAGGCCAGGGCACAAGCCTGGTTTCTGGCTGGATCCCCAGGGGGCATGAAGAAGGCAGCTGATCAATGTTTCTGTCTCACATGGATGTTTCTATCTCTCTCTCCCTTTCTCTAAAACAAAATAAATAAAGTCATATATTTTTTAAATCAGCTTTTAGATCCAATTAACCATTAAAACCAGAAAGTGTTTCCTATATGTTAGGCATGGGAAAATATCCTCAGGTGAGGATTAAGAATAAAAAAGTAGCCCTGGCCGGTTTGGCTCAGCGGTTATAGCATCGACCTGCGGTCCAGTGAGACCCAGGTTCAGTTCCCGCTAAGGGCATGTACATCGTTTGCAGTTTGACCCCAGCCCTGGTTGGTCGTGCGGGTGGCAGCCACTCGATGTGTCCCTTTCACATTGATGTTTCTCTCTCTCCTCTCTCTCCCTCCTATTCTGTCTGAACAAAAAATGGGGGGGAAAAGTAGAAATTACTATGTTTATTCTACTTATTCTACCAGGTTTATTTAATTTTAATGGATTTGTCAATCATTAAAAAATGACCCTTTTAAAATTTTCCCATCATACTTTTAAATGCTTCTCTTTCTTTTTCCCCAGTGTTTGAGTGTCAGTGTTTTGTGACTCAGTCTAGAAATCTTTAATTGTCTTTAGAACAAACTACTAATGAGAGCATTGGTAGCATAAGCTCCGGATGAAACAGATCAAGGTTCAGTTTCCATCTTTGGCTGAATGACTAGGAAAGTCATTTAGCTTCTATGGGCCTCATCATTTGCAAAATGTAGATAATTAACTTACCTGATGGTTGAGGTTTAGAGATAATTTATGTAAACTACCTGATACAAAGTAAGCTCTATTCTCTTATATTGGCAACAATCATAAACTTTTTTAAAAAGCTGGGCAAAATTTCATGTTTCACTCATTTCTGTATTCAGGACTCTCAACTTGCCAAATTTTATTTCTATTTTTTTTCTTTTCTTAATCCTCAGCCCTAGGATATTTTCCCATACATCTTCAGATGGGGGGGGGGGTCAGGAACAGAGACAGAGAGACAGACATGATTGGTTGTCTCCTGCACGCAGGACCCGGACCAGGGTGGGGACCCAATCGCAACCGAGGTACCTGCCCTTAACCAGAATCGAACCCTAGATTCTTTAGTTCGGAGGGCCTACTCTCTAACCTCTGAGCCAAACCAGTCATGGCGTTTTATTTCTACTTTTTAAAATAAAGATGTCATTAACAGTGTAACTTGTGTTTCAAAATAACTTTAAGAAACCTTGACAGGCTTAGGGAACAATCCTTAATAAACTTGTTAGTTCTATACATCTATTGGTACCACCTCACACACAAACACACCATTTATAGCCGTCTTGAAAAGTGGGTATATATATATATATATATATATATATATATATATATATAATTTTTATCCTCACCCGAGGACATATTTTGTTCAGATAGAGTGGGAGGGAGGGAAGGAGAGAGAGAGAAACATCGACGTGAAAGGGACACATCCAGTGGCTGCCTCCCGCATGACCCAACGAGGGCGGGGGACAAACTGCAACCGAGGTACATGCTCAGAACCGAACCGGGTCTCTGGACCACAGACTGAGGCTCTAACCGCTGAGCCAAACCGACCAGGGCGGTATTTTCATATTTTCATCTAGAATCAAAAGGAAATGAAAGACCCTAAGGGATTTAGGTCAAAGAATCTCGGTATGCGACGTCATTCTTTAGGTACAGGACGTTTCTTAGCTTTTAAACCCCACTCGTGTAAGGGAGTAGCACTTGGGGTGGTGGGGAATGCCTTTGGAGAGGGGCTCAGTACTGAATGCAGCCGCCCGATTCTAACGCTTTCTCAGCAGAAAAACGCCGAGAGACGAGCATTTAACAACTAAAAGCCAGGCCTTTCCCCCAAACACCACAGCTACGTGGCGTATGCCGGAGCCGGAGCCCACTGGCCACTCGCCGGGCTGCCAGCACCACTCTCCCTTTAGAGGGATTCGCTGCGGGGCCCTCAGCCGCCCGGATCTTGGGAAGCTTTGGAACCTCCGGAGCCACGGCCGCCAGACCCAGGGCTCCGACTCCGACCCCAAGGGGGACAGATGGCCAAGGTGAGAGGCGATTCCATCCTCAAACTCGAGGGACGGCCGGCAGGTCCCCGGAACTTTTCCCCTGGGACAGGTCCCGGCAACAGGTCCTAGAGGAAGCTGGGAGGGGCAGGGTGGAGACGAGCTCCGCGACGGCCGGTGAATCAGCAGCGGCTCCCGGCGCCGGGGTGACCCTCCCAGCCAGATCTCGGGAGGAGAAGCGGGGGCCGCTGACTACCAGCCACTCAGGGATCGCCCGGCGTGGAGAAGGGTGACGTCATCGTGGCTGGTAGGTTTCGGAAGTCTTCACCAATGGGAGACAGGCGAAGTGGCTTGCTTTCTGTAGCACTTGGCCAATACTAACAAAGCAAGAGTGGGCCCGGTTGTCTGTGTAGAACCAATGGAAAACAGGGAAGGAGCACGAGGCGGAGTTGCGAATCTTGTCACCAATTGGAAAGAGGGGGTGGAGCCTGGGCCTTGTCAAGCATGACCAACTAGCGAAAGGAGCGGACTGCAGGGGGCGGGGTCGTAATGTCCTCCCCCAATCGGGCAAAGCCAGAGGCGGGGCAGTCTTTGAGGTGCCCAATGAGGAACACAGCCGAAGCGGGCCTGTCAAGAGCAGGGACTGGGGGCGGGGGGATGGTGAGTCGGGGATAAACACTCGGCGGCGGGGGCGGCTGCTGCTCTTCTTCGGGTTCTGTCACGGTGTTGGTGGTGCCCAGCTCACCGGCCCCCTCCCCCTTCCGGCAAGCGTGGTCGCCAGAGAGGCTCTCTGAACCCTGCTCTGCCGAGTCCATAGAGGGTCGCAGTGTCCGGCGGCGGAGGCGGCGAGCCCGTGGGCAGTGGGGGTTGGTCCCGTGGCTCTGGCCCCCGGTGCAGAATGGCGACGGCGGTTCGGATGAACATCCAGATGCTGCTGGAGGCAGCTGACTACCTGGAGCGGCGGGAGAGAGGTGCACGGGGACGGGAGGGGTCCAACCCAAATAGGGGCCGGGGGCTCTGAGAAGCCACGCTGCGGGTCGGGGCGCCTAGCTGCCCCGGGGGTAGTTGGAGGCGCGGAGAGCGCGACCGCGAGCGCTTCCAACCCCTCCAGCTCTACGCGCGGTCGCAAGGGAGGACGCCCGCTGCCCCAAAGGCAATGAGTGGGGGTGGAAAGGGGGCCGCTGCACCCCGGGGTCCTGAGTGTCGCACCCTCCTCACCCTGTCGCATATGGGGTGCCGGGGACCCCCTCAGCCAGGCCTTTGGTTTACCTCACTGGTGCTCTTCCCAGCTGGCCTCGTCTCTCAGCGGGAGAAGCAGTGCTTCCCCTGTCCCCCCATCCCCGCTGCCGGTATTTGCCCCGCACCTTAGCCTGAGGGTGGTCCCACTTAACAAACCTGCTGGACGTTGCCAGTGAGAAACCCAGGCTCCATGCGCTTAGCGACTTGCTGTGTCTTTCTCAACAATGAGCAGCTGGAATGCTCCTTACACCTGCCCAGAACTGAAGCTACTCAGAAATTTTAAAAACAAGCATTGTTCTAAGAATCCCACCTTGCTGCGTTTAATTATTTCCAAAATATTTTTTTCATTGAAAAATAAGTAAATTTGAAAAAGGAAATACAGTGGAGGGGAGAGAGTATTGAATGTTTTAGGCTCCTTCATTAACTGGGTCCTCCGGTTTTCTAGAAGCTGAACATGGTTATGCCTCCATGTTACCATACAATAACAAGGACAGAGATGCCTTAAAACGAAGGAACAAATCTAAGAAGAACAACAGCAGTAGCAGGTAATTTGGTAAATAATTCTCCTTCCCTTTTAGATTATACTGCAGATGATACAAACTGCAGACTGGAAGTTACCTGTTGTGATTATAACCTAGTAAATTAAATGGCAATCTTGATTCAGTAATGTACACATGGTCTTAAGCTGTTGGAGGAAGCAGCCCTTCTGTTTGGGTTGAGGGGATTGAAAAGAAAAATGGACATTATCCATTTCTTTCACTTTTCATAATGAATAATTTATAAACATGTTCAAGTATCTGATTTGGCATAGATGGTAGGATTTCATATTTGACATGTAAATTAAATATAGTGGTTTGTCTGATAATCTAATTTGTCATAACTATTTATAATGGCAAGGAGGAATGAGTGAGGTTGAAATATGCCTTTGACTCTCACTAGGAAGTATTTGGTTAATGGTCAATGAAGTCACGTATTAAAGCTCTGAACATAGTTCCTGGTACATATGAGTACTCCATTAATACTATTGCCCTTTTGTCCCCTCTTTGCTCTTAAACTAGAAGTTAGGTAGGAAATCTATTTTATTAGAGCCATTCAACTATACTTTTTATTCCAGTAAATTAAAATCATTGACATTTTCATCACGGATTTAGAATCCTTATCCCTTTCCTATCTTCATGAATAATTCCCTGCAAGTAACTGTATTTGGTTAGCCTGTATGGTATAATACCACTAAAAACCAGAAGGTTCCTACCTAAACCTAACTCACTTGTTCTAGCTGTTCCTTCTGTCCTTGATTCACCCCATTGTCCTTAGTGTTGGTAGAACCACAGGATATGAGCAGTACACACGTGCTGAGCTCTTGAGTAGGAAGGCATGTGAAGGATGAACCTGGTTATTATTACCTGGTTCATCCTTTTTCTTTTCCCTTCCATCTTTAGCATTACCTGAAAGTGATAGCCAACAGTTATGTACATGGATATACAGGCCTTTATGAAGGATGCTAATACTGGCTTGGATTATGCAATGATAAAAAAAAACAATTTAGCTGTGTTGCATATTGCATATTATTGCATTATTCCAGTATTAATTTTTAAAGTTTTGTTTGGAAGAACTTTGAAACCTTTTGGCTTATTTTTTTCTGGAAAAGTGTAGTTCATTTATTGCTTTTATTCTTGTCTACTCATGATGTGAGGAATTGTCCCCATTAATAGTCAAGGCTTATGCCCTGGCCGGTTTGGCTCAGCGGTTAGAGCGTCAGCCTGCGGTCCCGAGAGACCCGGGTTTGGTTCCCGCTAAGGGCATGTACCTTGGCTGCAGTTTGTCCCCGGCCCTGGTTGGGTCGTGTGGGCGGCGGCCACTCGATGTGTCCCTTTCACATCGATGTTTCTCTCTCTCTCTTCCTTTCTCTCCTTCCCGCTCTATCTGAATAAGAAATGGAAAAATGTCCTCGGGTGAGGATAAAAAAAGTAAATAAATAGTCAAGGCTTAATCCTTAGCAATTTTATTTCTAAGTTTCACAGGAAAGTTGTCAGAGAATGTTCAGTGATAGAGAAAGGAAAAGAGGAGGATATTGATGAAGAGAAGTGTCTTGGTCCCAGAGGTGACTAGGAAAGAAAAATAATGATAGTTGAGAATTTCAAGCCAAGAAACATTCAAGTCTTTCTCTTTAATATGAAGCATTATTCCTGAAAAATGGCTGCAACTTCTGATATTTTGAAAAGCTATGTTCTCTTACTGGGTTTGGTTTGCTTTCCATGGTTAGAGATAGGAGGCTGTCGCAGTTGTCCATATTCTTTTTTTTTTTTTTTATCCTCACCTGAGGACATTTTTGCATTTTTTGTTCAGACAGAGCGGGAGGGAGAGAGAGGAAGAGAAAGAGAGAGAAACATCGATGTGAAGGGACACATCGAGTGGTTGCCACCCGCACGACCAACCAGGGCCGGGGACAAACTGCAACCGAGGTACGTGCCCTTAGCGGGAACCAAACCCGGGTCTCTCTGTACCGCAGGCCGACGCTCTAACCGCTGAGCCAAACCGGCCAGGGCAGTTGTCCATATTCTTGACTAATAATTAGTGTAATATCTTCAGCAATGTGAGGATCTCTGAGAGACCATGCTTAAATCTAGAGAAGACACCAAGCAATCATATGAAGCAGGAGCAGGTTGCTTTGTTTAAATGTGATCATTTCAATCCTTCTTGACCTGTTTGGAATGACCCTTACCTGAGCAGAGAGACATCTGCCCAGAGAATACAGTTTGCTCCCTTGATTTGAATTAGACATATCCAAAGCTCTGTATCATCGGGATTTTGAACTGAGGTAAGGACTATGAAGAGATTGTTGCTGGTTTACATAACCATTAGATAACAGTTTATTCTTGTTAATTTAAGTTGAAATTAAGCTCCTTGCTTTTAGAATCTGAGGGGTACTTTTCCTTGGACAATAAAAAATAAGACTTAGTCATATATCAAACTTGTTGGGAACTGAAAATGCAGATCTTAAGTTTTTCCAGTTGCTTGTTTAAAAAAACAAAAGCAAATGAAATTGTGAATATTGATTGTTTTGGAATCATCCAGAGAACTATGGGAATACAGGAAGATAGAATTTCCTTTTTCCTTTACTACTAATTTTTGAAATCAGTTACTAAATATGTAGAATTGAAACCCAGAGTTTTTGAAAGCATGTTAAATTGGTTATGTGGGCTTTGGCACTCATTTGAAAGAGGAAGTTCAGGATGTGCCACCTAGTTCTTTTATGAGATAGTAGCTATATAGCTGACCTGTTATGGGGCGTCTTTGAACCAAGAACTTTTCTCATTCTCAAATACTCTGTAGTTATCTTTGTTAGAATATATTTTTAAATGGTGACATTTGACCTCCATCAATGATTCCAGAGTTATCAAATCTTTTCAGTAATTGCATGGGAGATAATTTTGATACAAAGAACTTCTGTCTCTTTCAATGCTGTCATTAAAAATATAAATGTTGACCCATCAACAGAATTGGCAGGCAATCTCTGAACTGATTATTTCTTAAAAGATTTGCTTTTTTATAAAAAACAACTCAGTTGCAGTAAACCAAATGCACTTCAGTAATGCCCTAGCCATTAGGTGTACGTCCCCTTGTAAAAATAACAATGTGTTCAACACCCTTATGTAATCAAATAAGATCTGTTGTTTCCAAAACGTCATTTAAAGTTTGGAAGGAGTTGTGCTTCCTATGAGATCTATTTAAACATTTATATTGAGGGTTCTGAATTTTTTCATACGTATCTTCAAAGAATCCAGAAAGTTTTGGTAAGAGTGCCCTGTGTGTTGTTATTTTCTCTAATCAGAGACCATGTTCTTTTAGAATATCCATCCTCCTCTCCTCCACCACCTTCCGAGGATGATCCTTGACTATGGTTAAACAGGGAAATCTTGACCAGTTGTCATATACTTTCATCCGTTTAAAAAATCTGTCAGACTTTGAACTTATTACCTGTTAAAACTAAAATGCCATGTGCTTTTAAGCCAAAGGCTTGCATTGCAGGCCAGATTCTTGTTAACTGTGATATCCGGTTGGCCATTGCAGAAAGTAAACCTTCAGAAAAATGTAACTGATGAACACTGAGGGATAACCAAGTGAATCAATTTAAAGCTTTTAAGTTAATCAGTTTTAAAGTTCACATATCCTTTATCTAGAAAAAAAATTTCTAAAACTGAAAATACCGTCATTATGTTCTTGTTTTTTTCTTGTGAATAAAACTTGGTATCCAAGAGCCTCGTGGAAGAGAGGTTTCAGTGCCAGGGCCAGATTGGAAACTGCCCATTTCAAGATACTGCACACACACCCACACCCACCCACACATACCCACCCACCTATCCCCCTCACCCTTAGTCCCTGATGTGAACAAACTTGGCCGTGCCTCCCACCCCCGAGGTAAATGAGTGGCTAAGCATTCATGGAAGTAGTGATCCTCCATGATTACTCTGAAAATTTGTCTCCTAGGCCCCATAAGGTTCTGATTTATGGCCCCACAGAATTTCATGACTTGAGCCAAGGCATGATCTCCTGAACGGGTTAGATTCCAGAGAATTTCCGTAAGAAAGATCAGGATTCAGTGCCTCTATAACACTGGGGAGTTCCTCAGTTTATTTTAGTCAGGGAGGAATTGTGTGAGCAGGACACTGAAGTGACCACATTGACTAACTTCTTGTGACTTTTGTGGAAAGAAACCTGTCCATAAATTCTTAGACCAGACCTTATATTCAAGGTCAGCTATAAATACACTAATAATATGATTTCACATCCACACAGCTTTCATCCAAGGCTCTCTAATCACTTTTACAGTTGCTACCTCATTGATCCATGCTTGTTTAGTAGATAATTGGCAATCATTTTTATTCCCATTTTACAGAGGGGTTAACCAAGGACAGGATGGTAAAAAAATATTTCTTCCACAATCTCAGTCAGTGGCAAAGCTGAACTTCAAATTTCACCCTAACTGCTGCTTTAACCAGTCTATCATCTTTATATTGAAATGAATTTTGGAAGCCCCTTCTAAATCATTTTGTAGCTATTCAGTAGTACCGCCTTTCAGGAGATTGTACATGATAAAATAATTACTTCAGGAAATGCAAGATAGAAAGAAGAGGAGTTACGTTTACCCATTTAAAATTGAATCCTGTAGTCAAACAACTTAGCATAAAATTTTGGTGTACACTACACCTAGAAAAAACTGCAGGGCTGGGGTGGGGGTGCCACCTCTACTGTTGTACCCTGAGCCTAAAGAAAGCTTTGTGGAATTATATAACCCAAATTCACATCACATTGTGCAGCTGTTTTTGTCTTTGTATAAATAGACTCCTTTTATTCCTTTCTTAAAATGGATTACTTTTCCACTAGGGAATGCATGCCTCTCATTTTGTCACTTCTCCTTGAACTCTATTTTAGATATTTACATTTCTCTGACCCCCAGAGGGACTGATTTCTTTAGTAGAGCCCACTGAGTTTTTCTCTCTTTCTCTGTGTTCTCGTCTACCAACTTTGGAGAAAAAGAAGTTAAAATAATTTTGTTGGTGTTAAAGTAGTCCTTTAAGACAAAAATAATCTTACTCTGTTTTTATTGTTCTCTCCTTCAGATCAACCCACAATGAAATGGAGAAGAATCGGTAAGTGAGGATTTTGGGGGTGGGATGGGGGGAGTTGTGATGCATTTTCTATTCATTAAGTTGAGAACTGTTTGCTCTTCTTGACTCCTCCCCCAAGTAGTACCTGATTTACCTGCCTAGAAATCACTTAGGTAGATGAAGGGCTTGCTAGTTTTAAAACCACACCCCCACCAGTCACCCCTGCAGCTTCCTGAGGAATGCCTTTCTATGTGACTATTCCACAAGCCAGAGTATTTTAGGTCCTAGGCATTATTTCCACAAACGGTGTTTTTTGAAAATTATATCCTACTGACTATAATTGGCAGTGCTGTCTTAAATTATATACACACACACACACACACACACATACATACACATGTATGTATGTAGTTACAATTTACTTGTGAATAAAGATTCTCAAAATTCAGGCAAATAAATATATGCATAGCAGAAATTGGCGATAGTGACTCAGTAGAGGAGGCCTGCCATCCTCACTGGGCTCCATCTTGCCACAGCTGTAGTTAATCTCTTTCACCTGGATTGCCTCTTGCTGCTTATTTAAATCTTTATTTTTCAAATCAAGTTTGCCTCTCCTTCAGCGATGTAGCCTGGTGGTTCTCAACTCTGATTGCACATTAAAATCACTTGCAAAGCTTTTATGGTAATGTTTTAATAATTATTTTTAATGTTAAATACATTATACATATACACATACATTTGGGAGGAAGAAGACAAATGTTTATTTCTGCTGATTTTATAAAGTAACTTTTTACTATAGAATTTTTCAAATATACAAAAATAGAATGAATAATATAATCAACTCCTATGTATCCATCACCAACTTCAACAATTGTCAACATTTTGTCAGTCTTCTATAATTAAAACCACCCCTTTTTATGGGATATTTTAAAGCAAAATTTCTATCTCTAGTAGACTTTTTACAAAAAACATAACCACTTGCTTTTGCTATGCAGAAAAAAAATTCATGATAATTCTTTGTGGAGCTTTAAAAAACAAACAAACAAACAAACCACCACCACCCAGATCTCACCCCTAGCAGTTCTGATTTAATTCGTTTGGGCTGAGACTTTAGTTTTGTTTTGTTTTAAGCTCCCCAGGTGATTCTCATGTCCATCTAGGATTGAGAATCACTGAACAAGCCTCCTTCTGGTCTCAGAGCTCCCTTCAGTTTGAAATACAGGCTACCTATCCAGATCGACTGGCTTTCTTGGTACCCTGCATGAACAGGATGATGATGTGTAATAATGGCTCTGTAAATACATGTGATTATGTCATGCATTCCCTCTTTGACGAGGGGGCCTGACTGTGAAAGTCAGGATCTGAATGACATGTTTTGTCAATGAAAGGGCAGACCAGACCCTTATTAGGAAGGCAAATCTTGGAACAGGGCAGACATTTAGTATTGTTCCACTGTGTAATAATGTGTGTGTGAGAGAGAGAGATGGATAGCAAATGTGTCTCACTGTACACGTGTTTCTCCCATCTCTTCTTCCCTTTTCATTTCTCTGTGATTGTGACTGGCCATGTTTTAAGTCAGAGCTTCCTTTATGCTTTAGGGGTTTATATATCATGAACCAGAAACTCAAAAGTATCTCTTCTTAAGGTAGAATGGAAGTCAGATGTAGCTTCTGTTTTTCAACTTTAGATTCTTTCCCATCTTCCTGCCTTTGGGGTGAACTGGATAAACAGAGATTTTCTGCTGAAAATTATTCTAGTTCTCCTTCTGCCCTCTAACCTTTTCCTTGGGCATTTATTTTCATTATTAAAATTTCATCCTGCCCTGGCCAGTTTGGCTCAGCAGTTAGAGCGTCGGCCTGCGGTCCAGAGAGACCCGGGTTCAGTTCCCGCTAAGGGCGCGTACCTCGGTTGCAGTTTGTCCCCCACCCTTGTTGGTTGTGTGGGTGGCAGCCACTCGACAAGTCCCTTTCACGTCGATGTTTCTCTCTCTCTCTCTCTCTCCCTCCCACTCTATCTGAACAAAAAATGGAAAAATGTCCTCAGGTGAGGATAAAAAAAAATTTCATCCCTCCACATAAGGGCTCTTAGGCTTACAACAGCTTTGTGCCTTTCACCTCTGTAGGAATGCCACAGAATGTCAATTTCATCATTTATTATAACAGTTCAAAGATGTTTATTTTGTACCTACAGTGGCCCAAGAACTTGTGCTCAGCACTGGGTATTAAATTAGTTCATACTGGGATATTAAATCAGCATGATCCCCATCTTAGAGAAATGTAGTTTGTCAATAAGAAAGACAAAGTGAGTTAATATGCTGAGTGCTAAAATTAAGGTATGCTCAGGTGGCTGTGGAGGCAAAGGTTCTAGAAAACTGGATTTGAAGTCACCACTGGGCAGGCTGCTTATAATTCAGACTGTTTCTGTATGACTAGTCAACTTTTGCTCGTTGAAGGGTTACTTATCTAGTTTCCTTATTGTCCTTTCTTTTTTGGAATTTGGTCTTTTAAGGTCTTGATAATTCTTCCTCTAGCCTAGAGCCTGTTAACAGAAGAGAAGGAAGTAAGGACTAAAATTTACCTAATTTAACCAAGCATTGGTTGCTGCAGTCCAGTGGGGAGATTAAAGTTGTCAGGTACTTCTCCCTTATTAGTGTGTTTGCTTAAGATTTTAGGGTTTTGAGGTCAATTTAAACAGCTGCTCTTAGCCTCCCTGGTTTCAGTAGCCGAATGCCATAAAAGAATACTGCTTTGCTAAATGCTACTACATGTGAGCCATTTTTTTTACCTTAACATCACATAAAAAGACTAGCAAGCCTCTCAAAAAAAAAAAAAAAAGTAGCAACTCAGGGAAAAAATTCTAAGTGGGATTTTTTCCTCTTTAATATTGCGGAATTGACTATACTTGAGTTAGTTTTTTTACACAGAAACCTTTTCTGTCGTACTTTAGAGATTCTGAATAATTGGTGTTTATCAGGAGTCTACTCCAAGGATACTATACTCAGCACTACTTAAGTAATTCTGGCATTGGTGGGAAGAGAAAAGACCTAGAATGGTGGAGGTGGGAGCTGGTGGTGGATTGGCAATGGTATTTTCCCTTCAGTAGACGAGGTGTCGGGACCACCAAAGATGCCGTGTATTAGGTGCTACGAATACAGACCCCAAGAAAGACTTGGTCCCTGGGGTGGAGGACTCCGTTTAGGTTCACTCTAGATATTTCGCCTAGGCTTCTCTGCATTTTAATTAATTTTGTGTGTCTAGCCTCCTGAGGAAACATGCTTGGTGAGTGTATAGTGTGTTGTTGTTGTTTTAAAACAGCTAATCTTGCCCTGGCTGGTTTGGCTCAGCAGTTGGAGAGTCGGCCTGCGGACCAGAGAGTCCCGGGTTTGGTTCCCACTAGGGGCACGTACCATAAAAATAAAATAGCTAATTTTACAGAAATTTCTAAGAAATATAGAAAATCATACTAAAAATTAAAGCAGCCATAGTTCTCGCAGCCAGAGGAAACCAAGGGACCTTTGGAATGTATCTTTCCAATTAGTTTTGGAGAATAACTTTAAAAATATAGCTTAGTGTAGAAAAGTGGAAAGTACAGACAAGCACAAAGAATATTAAAAAATCACTTTGCAATAGACCTTGCAGAAGTAACAGCTGCTAACATTCTTGATAAGTTCTATAATTTATCTAGACTTTTGTGCATACTTTAAAAAATCATTATCAGATCATATAGTAAATAATTTGTATCCTCTTTTTAAGTTACATTATGAATGTTTTCCAATGTTGTTAAATCTCCTTTTCTAACATTACTTTCAGTGAATGCCCAGTATTGCATCATATGAATGTACCATAACTCATATAACCAATTTCCTGTTTTAGGTTCTTCCCAATATTTTTCTAATGTAAGCAGTGTTTCTTTAATCTACCTTGTAGATAAATCTCTGTCCAACATCATAATTATTTTCTTAGGGTAAATTTATGGTTTTGGAATTAATGGTATACACGTTGTTGTGGGTTTTGATGTTTACTGCTGAATAGCCCACCAAGCAGGTTATAGGCTATATTTTCCTTATATCTTCACAAGTTTATAATTTAAGACTTTTATGAATTTGATAAGTAAGAAACAAAAGCATACAATTTGTTTAAATTTGCATTTCTTATAGTACTAGCACAGTTGAACAATTTTGACATCTTTAACTGTGTGAATGTGTGAGTGTGTGTGTCCTTTGCCTGGTTTTCTATTGAAAAGTTTATCTTTTCCTTTATTTTGAAAAGATTCTGTGATATAAAGGATATATCTGAAAGACATTGCCCCTTTGTGAATCTCAAAACTTACCCAGTTTATTATTTACCTTTGCAGAATCAGTCTTCTCTTACTATTTGAAATCGCTGTCTCTGTTGTATACTAAATTTATGTGTATGGCTAAGTCTGTTTCTAGACTTCTGTTCCACTGATCTGCTCTCCCTGTGCCAGTGTACTTTGTTTTAATCATTGAGGTTTTACCATGCACTTCAGAATCTGGTCAAGCAAATCTCTTTTCTTCTCCCCTTCCTTTATCAATTTTACCATGATCTTAGCTATTTTTATCAGTTTATTTTTTCTGATAGTTTTTATAATCAGTCCATCAATTCCTCATCTTCCAAATTCTTTTGGGATTTTCAAAATTAAAATTAAATAATTCCAATATAAACTAACCTTAAACAGTTCTTATTTAAAAGGAGAAACATCTGTAACAAAAATTAATTAATAAAAAAAAAGTTCTTATTTATATGTTAGATCTTTCCATGCAGGGTTTGGTATGTGTCTTCTTTTATTCAGATCTCTTTTTTGTCTCTTAAGTTTTGAAGAGTTTCCATGTAGATCTTGCACATTTTTTTTTAAAAGGAATTCCTGCGTCTACATATTTTTAAATTGCTATTGATTTCCTATTGTAATTATTAACTGATTATTGGAAAAGGGAAATATTTTAATCTTTTGTTGTTATATGCCCTTTATTGATGATAATTCTGTTTCCTTCTCTTCAGTGGGAATTTCTCTGGTTAGAATGC